GGCGGAGCAGGTCAGCCAGTCTGGCTGAGAAGAGCCTCCTCCCTGACGGAGAGAGGTAGAGCCTGTCCCTTCCCAACAGCTCACTGCCTCTCTCTCCAAAGAGCGGACTGTGGTCATGGAAGCTAAAGCTTTCCCAATGACACCAGTGCCGCAGTCTTTGGTTGACTACCTTGATCCTCCTCTCCCTCCTCAGTCCATAGCCCGAGACTGGGAGGATCGAAGAAAACACCACCTGTGCTCCCAGACCCTTTAGCCCCGCACCCAAATCCCTGTAGTGCCTCATGAACCGGCTGGTAGCACTCAGAGCCATGTCATTGGTGCCCACATGGATGAGGAGCGTGGGATAGTGGTCAGTGGGCTGGAGGAGCTTAGGGATCTTCTCCACAATATGATGGTACTAGTATTAATAGCCATACAAGGAAAAATAAACAGAAACAATTACAATATTACTCTGGTTCAGTTGAGTATTTGGAGAAACCTAACTCAAGCTTAGCTAATGAAATTCAGGTTCAGAAAGCTATGCCTAGAGAGAGAGAGGGAGAGTGCGCATGAGCTGGGGTCTCACCCCTTGGGTGAGAACCCAAGGCACTTGGGTGTTTTGTTGACAGGCAGATTTCTTAGCACAATCTCTGAAAGTTAAAACAGGTGAGAGAAAGAGACGAGCTGTTTACCCCAGCTTCTTGAGAACAGCGGCGGATGTTGTAAGAGAGATTTGTCCCTCTTGAAGCCCACTGTTTGCTGCTTTACTGCTTTCTTATACCCTGAGTCCAGCCTCTTCAAAGCGTTCTTTTAATTGCGTAAATCAAGAGGGTCCCATGCCATAATTGACAGGGAAAATCTTGTTATATAAACAGTTTCAATTTAAATGAATTACCTTTCTCAGTGACAAGGGGTTATCTGGTTTGGAACATCTCAAGAAACTGCTTAACAGCCAGGAAAAACATACGGTTTTAAGGGGTAACCAGACACCTAGGAGCTGGCTTGAAATTATTTTGAATACAGAAGATAGATTGGAAGGGATACCACGTTATTTCTTCTCAGATGGCCTAGCTATGCTTGCACTGTGAATTCAGCATCAGTGTTTTGTATTTTACCTGTTGTGAATAAGCCTCAGCTTAGCATGACTTCCAGATCTTACTGTAGTCTTTTACTGGTGCCTTGATTTGGTCTGTTTTGTGAAACAGGAAATCCCAAGGGGATATGGAACATACTTAAGTGGATTACTTGGAGTGCTCATAAACTTTGTGGGGAGGACTCCCACCAGTCATCCCGGGAAAAGTATGACAGCATTTGTGGTCAGGGTGCCAATGGGCTGCTCGTTGCGATGAACCCTTAACCATTGTTCAAGTGTCGCCCATACCCCCTCTGACTTAGGGAATGCTGAGGCAACAGACTAACCCGGCAACCAAGTTTTAGGCAATCAAGTTTAAATATGCCTCCCATACTGGGACCAGGGAATGTATGGCCCGAAATGCCTATTAAACTTTTCTGCTGCTTAGTTCTGGTTAGATGAGGTGTGGGGGAGGGGCGGCGGGGAAAGTCCTTTATAAGTCCAGCAAGCTGGGTCCCTCAGGAACACAGAGCTGACAGGCAGCAATACCTCATGGTAAACGTGACGTAGGTTAGCCTACAGATTAAGAGTAAGAACATGGGTACAGTAGTTAGTTACCATGGAGGAGGTGACACACGGTAAGTTCACAGGCAGTCTTCCTGGCAACTTTTTCATGCTGTCGTTCCCCACCGCCCCCCAGCTTCAGCCACACAAGAGGAAATCAACAGGGGCAGCCTTCCATGCCTTTCTAAGCAATACAAAATTAGTCTTGTAGTTTTCTGTGGGTGTACCATTCATAAGGAAACTGCTTTCAAGTGTGGTATACCACAAAAATCTATTGTTTCTCTACAGGGGGGAAGGTACTTTGCTGTGAATGTTACTTGTACTCTTTCCTCATTGTTCTGGGAAACTTCATTACTGGTTACTTCCCTGTTGTGAAAGATTGCCTGATGTGTTTTGGTAGAAGAGAGAAAGCTGGTGTTCCCACAAATGAATAGAAGAAAATTATTGTATGTGATAAATTATAGTTAAAATATACTAAGATTTGTGTGGTGTGTTTATTAAAACCTGTAATTATGTTGCTTTCTTTAAAGAGGAGTAGAGTTTAAAGGAGATGTATAAAGGGAGGAAATGTGGGTATGTGTACAACATATAAAGGTGTGAAAATCCTTTCCAATTCCTTCCTCCACCTCCCAAGAAACCAGGATCTGGTCCATCTTGGAGAACTAGATAATTTTGCGTGATGAGGGAATCAGTGCTTCATGATGACTAAATGGATTAAACCTGTCTGAAATGTAAATTTAATTTGGACATACTTAAAACTGTTGTTTTGCTGTTGCCTATTTGTCTTACACGTTGAAGAAGCTGGCTTTATCTATCTGTCTATCTATATGCAGCTCCTCCTTTCTTCAGTTAAGAGTTCAGAAAAAATTCAGTACACCTCTGAGATGTATCCAGAAAAAATCTAGTTCAGGTCAGTCTTGTAGCACTTGGGGTGATTTTATAAGTTTCTTGGGGGTCAGGTGAGGAATCAGAAAGCATTTTTTCACTATGCATGTATGGAAATATATGGAAATAATCTGCATACAATAGAAATAATTTGCATTACATTATATATGTGTGCCTATGTAAAATTATATTTTTATAATACGCATAGTATTCATTTTGTATTGCATATATTTATATAAAATATTAAGTTCTCTAACACAGAGATGGAAGATTTGAAATGCCTCATTAAGTTCAAGAGAAAAAGCAGCCCTAGTAGTTTATTTTTCTTTACATTAAACAACCTTATTATCCTCTCTGTTCATATGAACAGCTTGTTACCTCCTATGGAGATGCAAATTTGAAATTTATCAAAGGCATAATAAATAGTTCAGGGTTTCTGCTCATGATATTCTTAAATTTACTTTTTGAGAACTTGTGTTGAAAAAGTCAAGAACATCCCTGCAGTAAAGTGCAACAGTTCCTGTCCCTTCTATTATGCTTACAATTTTTTCTGGTGGTGTAGGTATGCTGCAAAAATGTCTTTTCCAAGTTAAACAACAAAACCCCAAAGCACTAGAGCTAGCCTCTTGGTAAAAAATAGAGCATTTTATGACACATTTTTGGTGGTAAGTTGAAGAATCAGGTATTTAGTAACCTTTTCCGAAGTAGAAGCTGCTGCGGTAGTTCTACGTACTCTTAACACCTCTCTTGGTTCCAGGGTATCAGTAGAAAAGACAATTTATTTTTTAAAATTTCTCATATCTCATATGGCTTTCTTTTCCAAAATACTGACTTTTTGCCGAGAGGCAAAAATTGTGGCATTTATTGCCCCTTGGCCAGTCAGTGGCACAGGAATGGGGGTGAAAAGGGTGAGATTTAAGGCATTGGTGCACCACAAACTTCTGCCACAATTTAGGTATGTTCTGAGTAATATTCATGCTTGCTTTTCCATATATTTACATACATAGTAAGTGAGCTTGCAGATTTGCTTAGGTGCCAGATTTTAAAGCTGATACCTTACCTAATTGACAGACTTATTTTTCACAACTGGACATTTGTTTTTTTTTTAAACAGTCCATTATGCCTATACACATCTGGTTCTTGGTGAATTAGTAATCAGTCAAGTGTAAATGGAACAAACATTACAGGTATTCTTTCAACCAAAAATATACACACTGTCTTGTAAGCAACTTATGAATATCTGTTGGAGCCAACAAATCCAAATTTCTTTCTATGCTTGCATATTGTTGTCATTTTTCAGTTCTTTAGTATCTCATGCTTAAAATAATTCACCTTGAGGGGAGGTTGCCCTTGTCTTACAGCAGTTCTGGAGGTTGTCCCTGCTATTTGAAACTTGTATGAAAGGGACTAACTTTAAAATATGTGGTGCAATTTTATTGTTTCAGTATTTTTTTAAGTTACAATTTAAGTTATGGGGCAATTTGCATGCAAAGGAGAATAGTTTATGTAACATTACTTAGTTAAAATAGGAAGTATGATTGCACTAAAATACATCTAATCAACAACATTACATTTTTTTAACTTAAACGATAGAAAGTTAAGAGAGCAAGTCTGAAATGAAATGTCACTGCTGCTTCTTGGGTTTTCCCATGTAATTCATCCAGCTATCCTGTGGCATTTCTGGTCTTGTAGCTTTTTCATTCAGTTAAGCAACTTTAAGACTTGTTTACTAGCAGTTCTGGAGGAAGAGATGCTGTCCATGGGAATTTAGCTGGGATCCCACAAGGTTGTCTAAATATATGTAAACACCCTGTTTTGAGGTTCAGACTATGGTCATCCTTTTCACTCCTTTCAGTGATTGCCAACTGGAGATGTACTTTTCAGTTCATGTATAGAAGCTATAATTCATACGTTTCAGATTCTAAACCTCAGTAATTTAAGGAAATTATTCCTTTCTTCCTAAGATATAAACAACAAACTGCAGAATTTTTTGCAGTTTCCTCTGAAGTCTCTACTTCGGACCTCTAGACCAGATGGACTACTTTCTCATCCCAAATCCATCAGCTTTTTGGTTTTCTGTTCAGTGCTGTACAGCACAGAGCTTACTTGCTTACCTATTTTGATTGAAGACCTTAAGATTTGTACTTCACAAACATATATAATTTGGTTTTCAGATAATCCAGTGAATCGTATTTGTTCCTATCCCATTGTTAAATACTACCAGTTAATTAACCAGATTTTATAAGAATCAAAGTGCTTTTCAGATTCAAAAAATGTATTTTTGAAAAATTTGGACCTATAAAAAAAAAATTGATCAAAACCATCAACAAAACATGTTGTTAGTCTTGGATATTAATGTAAAATAGCTGGGATTGTTTTGCTGTCATAGGAAAGTGTAATTGATTTTTCTTTTTTTCTTTTTCACTCAGTTTTTAGGTTCTAAACTTAATTGGTTTGGTTTACATGTTACAATGCTATTTTGTGTCTCTTCTGTTTACAGCTGATATTATTTCAACAGTTGAATTTAATTACTCTGGAGATCTTCTTGCAACAGGAGACAAAGGTGGTAGAGTGGTTATATTTCAAAGGGAACAAGAGGTCAGTGATTTTGAAAACAAAGGTGTTAAAATTGCTCTTATCTTTCTTTGTTACCAAAATGTATGCTATGTCATCTTTTTGTCACAGAGGTTAAATGTGATTGTATTTTCTAGCCAGTTGTTTCTTCAGAAAACTTCCAATTGGCTTATTTTTCCTTGATTGAACCTTTCCAGTATGTCTTCTGAATTTGGTGCTGTACCGAAAAGTCCAGGTATCCCTGTTTAGGCTGTACACTTGAAATTTTGGACAATTACCATGGTGGCTCCCCTAAAACAAAAACTTAAGGCCCAGGGCATCGTAAATTTTTAATGTTTAACTTCCTTCAAGAAACTAAAAGATTACTGCAAGGAGGTAGCTGCTTCTGAAAAGATGCAGGAGGATGCCCATGCTTCAGATGCTCTCCACTGCCCTCCATCCTGAAGCTGTTTTCTAGATATCATCAGATTGATAAATACTAGTTAAATCTTTCCTGTGTTACTCACTGCTCTGGCATATGTGTCCATTGATATTTCAGTGTCCTTTGTATCTTAATCTTCAACATAAGGAAAATATGCCTATTTTCTATATCTTCTTGTCTTGATAAATACAGTATAGAGCTACACTAATATATTGATTGCATGTTGGATTGGCACTAATAAAAGGAAAATTAACATTATCAGCTTTTTTGACCCATGTAGCCGATAATGTCACCTACAAATACAATATGCCTTCTGCTTGAGGGCCTGGACGTTGCATGCATGCACACAGCCATATGCAGGAATGCAGCTGGGTAGTATGGAGAGCAGTGCCGTGCAAGTAAGTCTGTGGGAAGGGAAGGAGTGTATGGAAAGGAAGGGGTGTGGGGTGCAGTTTGAGGACCCCATGGTGTGGGAGAGAGTGGGGAAGGGCCTGGGGTGTGGGGGTGCTGCCCAGCCAGGGCAGTGAATGGGATCCAGGGCCAGGGCAGAGAGCAGAACGGAGCTGCGGGTGGCCTGTCTGGGAGGAGGGTAGGGGTGACTTTCAACCACTGCGCAAACACCCCCAGGGGAGGCATGGGGGGATATGTGCTCCCCCAGATTTTTGCACAGGGTGGATGTGGGCTGCCCGCTGTTGGCTTGGGGCTCTCCACTATCCTGCCTTTCCTTCTGGAGCACCACATTGGCCACACATCCCCTGCCTACGTGGCAGTGCTAGGGGTGACAAGGTGTGCCTCCTGCTGCTGGGTGGGCAGGGGGCTTGCAGCTGGTGTGGAACTCCCAGGCCAAAGGCAGTGGAGCAGAGAGCCCTGAGCCCACAGCAGGCAGCCTGCATCTGCCCTCATGCTGCTCGGCTCTGCTCTGGTCAGAAGTGTCCCTGTGCTTAAAAATGGTGTCGGTGGCGTTTGAACTAAAGCTTATTTGAACTTGATGTGCTTTACGTCAAACACCGCCACCACCACTTTTAAGTGCTGGGATGCTGATTCTCGAGACAAGCGAGCTGCAGCTCTGTCCTGCTCTCTGCCCTGGCCCCAGGTCCCACTCACCGCCCCAGCTGGGCAGTGTCCCCAGCCCCTGCCCCATTCCCTCCCTCACCATGGGGGTCTCAATCTACCCCTACCCCTCCACAAATTTATCTGCAGGGAGTTGCTCTCCACACTGCCCAGCTGCATTCCTGTAAATTGGTTATCAGATTGGTATCAGCCAATATGGTTGGTTAATAATCGGTTATTGATATCAACCAGCAAAATGGAGTGGGGAGAAAATTTAAGGATGCAAATAAACTACTTTTCTAAGTCTGCATAAACAGTACGTTGCAGTGTTACACCAAAAGCCACTAAGACTTATAAAGTCTTACAGCTAGATGTTTTGATTGTTGTTTTGAGGCATGTGGAGTGTTTTTTCGGGTGGTATCTGGCTGCTTTCACTTTTGATGTACACACTGCTGAAGCCTGTATGTTTGGAAAGGCCAATGCTAGCAAGCCATCTTCCAGGTCCTGAAGGCAAAACAGAAAACAGAACTCTAATGTGTGTTCAGTGGCAAAAGCTCAATAAGGTTTATTATTGCTGGACAGCATACCAGTCCAACTTAGTGAAGCTTGCCCTTGACAAGTAGAGACACTGTTATTCACACTCCCCTAGGTCTCTACGAGGGACAGGTCTCCCAACTCCTGTATTTATGTTTACATACCACCCGCCCTCCCCTTCATCCCAGTCTTATCACACTCTCTCAAGATGTTCATCTTTATTTGATTTGTCTGTCAAGTTTATGCATCTCCACTCCCATTAGTAAGTTTTAATTTTTACATTTGTAGCTGCTGTTTTCATACTCCCTTCAATGTCTTGTTTCTGCTCATTAGTGTATTTTAATTTTTTTTACTGGGTCATCGAGCAGTTAGGAGGTTCTTTTCTCCCATATTGCTTTTCAGCACTGTAGTTTACAATAGCTTAGAAAAACTATGGCCTAGCACATTCGGAACTCCTACATTAATTACTCCCCCTTGTGCTGTAGCTGTAAAATAAGTTCTGTATTTGACTCTTGCCAAGTGGGATGTTGCCTTGATTACAGTTCTTTTCTGACGTAAGTGAGTAATTTTATACTTAGCTTTGAAGGTATGAGAACAAGACTATCAAATTCATTTTGAATTCTGGTCTTACTCTTCAGGCTGCTTGCAGCCAATCCAAGCTTGCTGTCATCTGCAAATCCTATTTTGTATCATTGAAATCATTCATGAATTTTTTTAATAGAACTGGGCTAAGCACACCCCTGCAGTGTGCCACCTGTGACACCCTTCCATTTTAGCAGCAAACTGCAGATAACTGCTTGTGTACACTCATTTTATGCTGAATTCATCTAGGCTAGGGATGGGCAATTATTTGGGCTGGAGGGCTGCTTAAGGAGTTCTGGTGAACTGTTGCAGAGGATAAGGGGGGAGGTATCTGATCCTATCAGACCACGGGCCGTCCACCCTGCACCCATCCCCAGGGGCACTGGATGGAGCGGGTGGGTGGGTGGAGTCTCCATGGAAACTGCCCTGGACCTCCACATGCAGGAACATGCAGGTCCAGGAAGATGGAATGGGGCCACGAGCAGGTGGGGAATGGGGCGGGGCCAGGGCCAGGATTGCAGGATAGTCAGTGTGGGTACCAGAGCCTGGGGTATAGCCGGGCAGCAGATCATGGTTCTGCCCTGGGCCCTACCCCTGCATTGTTACTGCTTTGCAGTTCCAAGCTAGTCTCCATGGAGACTCTGCTAGCCTGCTCCATCCAGTGCCCCCAGCAGTGCAGAAGAGAAATTGGCAGTGGCAGCTGGGCAGAGTGAGCCCCCACAGCCCATGCTGCCCCCTGCGCCTGAGCTGGATGGGGCCAAGGGACCTGCCACAAGTCTTATAGAATCCCTTGGCAGGCCAAATCCAGCCTGTGAATTGTATTTTGCCCACCCCTGGTCTAGGCCATATTTCCCTAGTTCATTTTTGAAAATATTGTACAAAAGATTAGCAAAAGCCTTACAGAATCCAAAATATATCTCATTATCTGCTTCCCTTTTTACCTACTAAGCCAGTTACCCTGTCAAAATAAATTGTTTTGATGTTTTGCTCTTGGTGCATTTAAAGAGATTGCTAGTTTGTTTTTGTATCTATAGAAATCAGTGGTCATCTGGGGTCCAGTTTGTATATGCATTTTTTTGTATAAATGCTACTTGCAAACAATGTATATATAGTTTCATAGGTGATAGGGTCGGAAGGGACCTAAGCAGGTCATCAAGTCTGACTCTCTGCCATGGGCAGGAGAGAATGCTGGGGTCAAATGACCCTGGCTAGGTGATTGTCTAGCCTCCTTTTGAAGATCCCCAGGGTAGGAACAAGCACCACTTCCCTAGGAAGTTGGTTACAGCTCTTAGCCGCCCTGACTGTGAAGTAGTGCCTCCTGATGTCTAGCCTGAACCTACTCTGTCAGCTTATGGCTGTTATTCCTTGCAACTCCTGGTAGTGCTCGGGGGAACAGAGACTTTCCCATTGCCTGCTGGTCCCCCTTGGCAAGTTTGTAGGTGGCCACCAGATCCCCTCTCAGCCTTCTTTTGTGTAGGCTGAACAGTTTCAGGTCCCATAGTCTCTCCTCATAGGGCCTACCCTGTTGCCCCCTGATCATGAGAGTGGCCCTCCTCGACCCTCTCGATGCTATCCATATCCCTCCTGAAGTGTGGCGCCTATGTTCATCTTGGAATCAATAGTGACTCCAAGATACTTTTCTGCCTCTGTGCTGACAAGAAGGGAGTTCTCCAGCCCGTAGGTATGCTGCTGCTTTTTCCTCTCCAGGTGCAATACCTTGCACTTGTCCGTATTAAAACCCATCCTATTCCCATCCGCCCACCTCTTTAACCTGTCTCTTACCTCTTATCACAAACCTTTATAGTTTCATAGTTTGTAGGGTCGGAAGGGACCTGAGCAGATCATCAAGTCTGACCCCCTGCCTTGGCAGGAAAAGGTACTAGGGCCAAATGACCCCAGCAAGGTGTTTGTCTAGCCTTGTCTTAAAGACCCCCAAGGTAAGAGCCAGCACCACTTTGCTTGGAAGTTGGTTCCAGATCCTAGCCACCCTGACAGTGAAGTAGCACCTCCTGATGTCTAGTCTGAATCTACCCTCTGCCAGCTTGTGACCGTTATTTCTAGTCACTCCTGGTAGTGCTCGGGGGAACAGGGACTCCCCCAGTGCCTGCTGGTCCCCTCTGACTAGTTTGTAACAGGCCACTAGATCCCCCCTCAGCCTTCTCTTGTGGAGGCTGAACAGGTTCAGGTCCCGTAGCCTCTCCTCGTAGGGCCTGCCCTGCTGCCCCCTGATCATGCGAGTGGCCCTCCTCTGGACCCTCTCCATGTTGTCCACATTCCTCTTGAAGTGCGGCGCCCAGAACTGGATGCAGTACTCCAAATGAGGCCTGACCAGGGTCGCGTAGAGGGGGAGGATCACCTCCTTGGACCTGCTTGAGATGCATCTGTGGATGCATGACAAGGTATGGTTGGCCTTCCTGACTGCTTCCCCACACTGTTGGCCCATGTTCGTCTTGGCATCAGTGATGACTCCAAGGTCCTTTTCTTCCTCTGCACTGACGAGAAGGGAGTTCACCAGCCTGTAGGTACGCTGCCGGTTGTTCTTCCCCAGGTGTATCACCTTGCACTTGTCAGTGTTGAAACCCATCCTATTCTCAGCCTCCCACCCCTGTAACCTGTCTAGGTCTGATTGCAGCCTGTTCCTTCCTTCTAGTGTGCCCGCATCCCCCCACATCTTAGTGTCATCAGCAAATGTGAACAGGGTGCTTTTTACCCCCTCGTCCAAGTCACTGATGAAGATGTTGAACAGTGCAGGCACAAGGACCGAGCCCTGTGGAAACCCACTGCCCACATCCCTCCAGGTCAAAAATACCCCATCCACTACCACTCTCTGGGTGCGGCCCTCCAGCCAGTTGGTGACCCATTTGACTGTGTATGTGTCAACACCACACTCCCCCAGTTTTTTAAGGAGAATGGGGTGAGAGACAGTGTCGAAGGCCTTCCTAAAGTCCAGAAAGACTATGTCCACTGCTACCCCTGCATCTAAGGATTTTGTGACCTGATCATAGAAGGCCACCAGGTTGGTCTGGCAGGACCACAGCACAGGCAGTTCACAGCACAGGTCCTTGCTGCTTAAAAGTAAGTGATTGTAATAGGTTGTTGCTTTGTGTTGATCATGTAGGTTAGATCAACTGTGTTTAGGCTGTGAACTGAAGCATCCCTGTTCAGGTCAGAGGTGGGAGGGTGAGTGCTAGTACCTAGCTGTAGCCTCCTCTTTTCCACATGGTGGGACAGGGAGAATGTCCTCAGCTGAAGTCTCTTGGTACTGAATGCCACTGAAGCCCCAAGTCTGTGGGCTGGATGAAATGGCTCTGCAGGCCAGATCCAGCTTGTGAGTCATAGGTTGTCAACCCGTGAGCTAGATGGAGATGATGTGCAGGTGTCACAGTTTTTTGGTAGTAGGAGAGGAATATTGGGATTCAAGGATCTGGATTTAATTCATGTTTTGAAGAAAGTGTGCATTTAAGCTTAGACTTGTCCCTGCTAGCTTCCTTTGGCCAGTATCTCCTTTTCTTGTTTTTCATCTGCTCCTCATCTCAATGCTTATCTCCGCTCCCCTGGGTCCCAGTTGTGCTCCTTCCTTCTCCTGCAGTTTCCTTGATCAATAACACAGGAAATATTGAGAGGACAGCAATCCCCATATTTCCTTTGGGTGTTGGGTGTTTTAGCAGTTACTGGATCCTAGAAAGAGCATTTGCTGAGAAGACCCTACTTATCTCTTGTATTCCTGGGCTGACACATTCCCAGTGCAGACAGAATTTTTTGAAACCTAGCTATCAAATGCAAGCATGTCTCTAATGAGCGTATGTAAATAGGTTTATAACAGTCAGATTTGTTTGGGTTTCAATAGCACGCCCAGACATCAAGTTGAATGTTCATACCAAATATTAAGTCCTTTCTCCAAAGCATGGGTGGCTCAACCTTTTTGTACTTAAGGCACCCCTCCATAATTTTTGTGAATTCAGTGGCATACTGTTTCAAAAACTAACTTACTTATTACAGTGCTTGCCTCCTTGCAGAGGGACCAGGTGGAGGGAAACAGCTGGGCAAGGACTGAGTCTGAACCTGCACTTATCTTCATATGTCTTCACACTTTGCAACACCCTTCAAAGGGTCTGGCGCACCCTGGTGGAGAATCACTGCTCTAACTGGATTCTCAGTAAACCAGTTGTAACTTTTTTTTTTTTTAGAGTTTTCTCCCAATATGTTCCCAGAATGTCTGAACCATTTTGCTTTTTCTCAAAAGTGAAAGGGAAAAAGTAAGTGACAGAGGGAAAATACATAAAGCAGATACACTTTCACTTCAAAATGTGTAGGCTGAAATTTTCCATGCTGGGTAAGTGTCTGATAACAGGGTCTTATAACAAAGTTTTGAGCAGCTTTAAATATAGGCCTTACTTTCTGTGTTATGTATAGTAAATGTTGATGAGCGTTAGTAGGTAGAGAATGATCTTTAATGTTCATAAACAATTACAATATTTTAAAAGCATTTAAAAACGATGTATCACTACAACAAGCTAAACATAAGCTTTTTAGTTATTGCCATTTCAGTAACTGTGGCCAGCATTATATCCATACGTTGGGCCTTACATTCTTGCAACAAAGGAATGTAGCTGGCTCTGGTGCAGTATCGTTTTTTTCCTGATTTTTAGAGTGAAGCAACAGAAGTGGAGGCTGGTTAAATGGGGGAGGGCATCAGTTAGAGCCATATGATCCGTGAGAAGAAGTTGATCAGGCATATGTAGCCTTCCCTACCAGCTCATTTGAAAGTACAGTGGACAAATCTTTCAACTTGGACTTTTGTTTACCTATATTAACAAAATTCCCCTGTACAGATGGCAACCTTTCCAAAGCACTTTGCTTTTTATAGTTTCTGGGATTACACCAGTAGCATCAAAAAAAAGGGAGGGAGGGAAGGCAAGGAGGAGGAGAGGGGGAGCCAGGTAATGTTGTTATCGTATTGCTCAGCTGGCTTATTTTACTTCACCGTAATATTAATTATATTGTTTTTCCTCATGTAATTTGTATTCTGTGTTGTTCTAGCAGATTTTTTGAGTTTGTCAAGATAATTGCCTAAGTTTTTAATTCCAAGTTCACATTTATGTTGTAATTAATAATTGTTTGACTTATACATATAGAGTATATACGGTCATATTGTTTTCTTTGTGCAGAAATAATATTAACATTATTCTGAATATTATATTTTACAGAATAAAAGCCGTCCTCATTCTAGGGGAGAATATAATGTTTACAGTACCTTTCAGAGTCATGAACCTGAGTTTGATTACTTGAAAAGTCTAGAAATTGAGGAAAAAATTAATAAAATTAGGTGGTTACCACAACAGAATGCTGCTCATTTCCTACTATCTACAAACGGTAAGCATATTTCAATGTACTTTTATTTTACAAAAGATGTCTTTTCATATATATTTTTAATTGAATCCTTTATTTTTACTCTGAATCCATCTACTTATTCCTTTTTTTTAATTTTTTTATTTTACATATTTTTTCTTAGTTCTGCTGCATGTAAAACCATGTTGGATTTGATACTGTTTATTTAGAATATTGAATCCTCATTAACAAAAGTGATACAAAATTATGAATAAAGCTGTTCACTACTTCTTGTATGGTAATGAAAGTAGGCCAGCTGCTTAACCCTCAAACTGCTGACCCAGTCAGCTTACATCCTGTGTGCATGTTACTCTGCTTTCCATTATGAATACTGTGTGGAGAGGTTTCTTGTGCCATCATCCACAACTGTAGCAGAGGCAGGATTTAGTCCCAGTTATGTACATGGGTTGGTTTGTTTTTTTTTTAGACAAGGAGGATTTAAGCCGTAGATGTGCTTTTCTGATCCTAAATACCTCCTGGGGCAGGGATATTCGTTGGTAAAAATTAGGACAACCTGATATTAGCAACGCTACATCACTTGTTTTTTCCTAGACGTATTCATTGTATGATAGTTGCTTTACAAAATTTCCCAATTTAAAAGAACTTTTAGTCTAAAAGCAACAGCTGTAGTGACAATATGGATTATGGCTGTTTGGGTTTCTATTATGTATAAGAGTCATGCACTCAATTTAGTATAATATAAGCTTGAAAGATAGCACTGCTTCTTTCTGTCTTCCCTTAAAATTGTGGAAAAACATAAAGGTTATTTTCCAATATATGTCACTAGGAAGCATTTATGCTACAGCTTATCTCACTACATAGCGCTCTTATTTTGTGGAACTGTGTACTACTGTGATTTCATCATAATGCTATAATAAGGGAAAGCTTTTATTTTTTTTTAAGTAATTACTTCTGTGACTGTCCTGATAATTCCATCTGGAAAGGCTATTGTGAATTTGAAATCTAATCAGGTTTTTTTTAAGTGAAGAATTGTTTCCAGTTTTACAACTGCCCCTGAGTCTACTTGCCAAATTGTACAATCATTTTCCTATCTATAATGGCTCTCCTCCCATTCTAATATTATAAAAGCCTAAGTCTGTCTGTCTAGCCATAATGTTTTATTTGCGCTTTGATTGGCTGATGGAAACAACCAGTCAGAGTGCTCCAAGCATGGGGGAGTGCTGCCATAATTCCAAAGCTGCGCTGAGGACTGGACAGAGGGTGGGGGAGCTGCTTGTCTCGGCTCCCCCACCCCGCTCCCTGCAAGAGGCAGAACAGCAGCAGCATGGGGTGTTAGGTGGCAGCACTCCATCCCAGCCCCTCCCCCCAATCATTTTTGACGGGCAATTGGCTAGTTACTACATAAAGTGTAAACATAGATGGAAACTGATACAGTGAAACTGATGATACAAAAAGTGATGTCACAGTAGAATTGAAGCAGCACATACACCGTCACTTAGTTGTAGGAGTTAAAGTAACAAATAACCCAAAACCCATGTTCCTCCACAATTAAAATGAGAGAGAGAGTGCGAGCTGGGATCTCACCATTCCAAGGCACTTGGGTGTTTTGTTGACAGGCCATGTTCCTGGCACAATCTCTGAAGGTTAAACAGGCGACACAAAGAGATGATCTGTGTATTCTACCTTCTCAAAAACTACGGCGGATGGTGTCAGAGAGATTTGTCCCTCTTGAAGCCCACTGTTTGCTGCTTTACTGCTTTCTTATACCCTTAGTTCAGCCTCTTCAAAGCATTCTTTTAATTGTGTAAATCAAGAGGGTCCCATGCTGTAATTGACAAGGAAAATCCTGTTATGTAAACAGTTTCAATTTAAATGAATTGCCTTTTTCAGTGACAAGGGGTTATCTGGTTTGGAACATCTTAAGAAACTGATTAACAGCCAGGAAAAAAAATAAGGTTGTAAGGGGTAACCAGGCACCTAGGAACCGACTTGAAATTACTATGAATACAGAAGAGAAACTGGAGGGGATGCCACATTATTTCTTCTCAGGTGGCCTAGCTATGCTTGCACTGTGAATTCAGCATCAGTGTTTTGTATTTTACCTGTTGTGAATAAGCCTCAGCTTAGCATGACTTCCAGATCTTACTGTAGTCTTTTACTGGTGCCTTGATTTGGTCTGTTTTGTAAAACAGGAAATCCCAAGGGGACATGGAACATACTTAAGGGTATTATTTGGAGTGCTCATAAACTTTATGGGGAGGATTTCTACCAGTCATCCCGGGAAAAGTACGACCCATGTTCCTCCACAATTAAAACGAGAGACAGAGAAAGATCAGTTGGGTAATGTTTTAATTGTAAAGCAACTTGGAAGCCTGCAGGGCCAGGAATGCGGGTGTAGAGGGGGGGTAGGCTGCTCAGGAGGGGTGAGTCCCCTGTCCCCCGCAGGGTGCAGCCCCTCTGTGTACCTCATGGACTGCCCCCCCCCCCCCACAAGGATCACAGCAACTGGGACCTGGGCTCCATGCCAGGGAGTGGGGGGAGCTGGAGAAGCAAGGGGGAATACTGAGGGTGCAGGGGACTATGGAGGGGCAGCTCGGGAGGGGTGCGTCTGCTGGCCACCCTCCCGCATGTCTCCAGCCTCCACTCACCCTGCAGCCAGGTACAACTCTCACCTCGGTGGCTCCAGGCCCCTTGCTCAGCCCATGGGGCTTAGGAAGTGTGCTGGGGGGCTTCCCCATGACTCCCCAGCTCGGCAGTCAGCCACAGAAGGACCCTGGGTGCCCCACCAGGCCCAGGAGGCACCAGTCACCCTGCCGGAGGGGCACAGTGGGGGCTCCCCAGTGGACCCAGAAGCGAACTGGAAGTGCTTCTGGTCCACTTCGGGGTCTACTGTAGAACATGCTGGAGAGCCCCTCGCGCTCCTGTGGGACGCTCCATCTGCCCCACCACTGCAGCATTCACAAGCCTTCTGGTATCTTGACGTACGTAGAAAAAACCTTTAAAGCTGTGTCTGTGTCCGAATTGCTGAATCTTTTTGAATCTCTCCGAATTGATTTGGAGGGTTCTGATTGGATTCGGAGAGATTTAAAGGTCTGATTTGATTCGGATTTGGAGATTTGTCCACTGAATCTCTGCCAAATCTCTGCTGGGGACTGAGGGTTCGCACAGGTCCTGGTTGCTGTAGGCAGTGCATTTCAGCACTGAGGAAAGGGCGAACCACAGGGATGCTCTGGCAGGCTACCGGAGCATCTCTGTGGAGCACTGAGCCTCCAGTTGCCCTGCCCTGCTTTTTTTTCACCGGGTTTTTATTTATTTATTTTTATTTTTTTGACCCCTGAATGTCTAGGGGTCTAATTTTGACATTTTCTTGTTCCTGCACGTGCCTCTTACAGTGTCTCAAAGGGACGCGGACTTTGGGTTTTGAGAAGTTGCAAGACGCACGTGTGTGCTTATGTGGACGCACCCTTTGACTTTTTCATAGCTGCTGATAACTGAAGCTGTGTGTATGTGGCTCAATTTTGCTATGTGACATCACTTTTTATATCTTAGTCAGAATAGCGCTTTTGTGCCTCTGATGACATTGGAATGCCATATTTTACTGTGTATCAGTAACATGCTAGCATTATTGAAGTACTGCTAATATGTATGCTCCTGAATGAAACTGAAAGGAAGACAGGCCCTTGTTTGAGGAGTTTGTAGTCTAAATAAATCACTTGGAGGTATAGAAGACCTTGATAGTGTATAGCTTTTTGTTTAAAAAAATTATTTGCTAATACCGGTCAGAATTAGTAGTTTCAAGAAAAAAAATATTTCCTCAGATTTTTGTATATGTGGATCCTTTTCATGGTGCACATGTACCTTCTGTACAGGAATTCAGAAAGTTTTGATAAATGAGATCCTGTTAGGGAAAGATAAATGTTTGACATGCCCTCAGACTTTGTATTTCAAGGGTATAAAGGATGGCGCAACCCTAATTGCCATTCCATTTCTTTTATTACCTAGCAGATGGTTGGAATAGCCCCACTTCCTTATAATGTCTGCAGTAGGTATCCTACTATGTTTGATAATTTTTCCTTTTAGATAATCATTTATTATGTTTGTAGTAATCCATACCAGCACTTATCAACTTCATGGCTGAACCTTTGATCACTTGATTTAAAAGCCCCCTGCCATATTTTAAGTTATTCCATCCTCTTGTAAGGTACCCTGCTCCTTTGTTGGAAAGGGCAGCATATAAATCAAATAAATAAATAAGCACCTCTGTTGCATAGGGGAGATTCGTATTTCACCCACATACGTGATTTGCAGATCATTCAAGGAACACCACTGAAAACAAACAAGTCCAGCTGAAAGCTTCAGTTTCCCATTAGGATGCATCTGACTCACCCTTCTAAGAAATGAGGCTCCAGCCTTCTCAGTTAAAAGTCAGACTGTAGGTGCTCCAGTGGTCAAAATGGTCAGTCTTAAATCTGTTGGACTGAAAGGACCACCTTCAGCATGAGGGAGCCTTGCAGTGGGCACAGATGGTGCAGACTGCCACCTTACTGCTTAAAAAACCCCAGACTTTTCAATTGGTCCCTCTGCATCAATCACCCTACCAGATAGTAAGGAACTGAAATAATTGACTTCCAGTTAGCATCTGCTATAACAGTATTCATTCTGTACAGTTTGTTAGTCCTAATAGCTAGTCAGCCTCTGCCTTTAGTACCAACTATTTGTACTTTTGCAGTACCAGTAAAAAGAACACACTTGATATATGAAGCCTCTCAGTATTTTATTAGTCAGCAGCTTGCTGTCTCTAGAAACAGCCTTATGCAACACCAGGGTATAATTGTTTCTCACGTAGTACTGTCGGAATCAGCACTGCAGCTTTCAGCACTGAGTATTTTAGGGCAGAACTCAGTGGTGCTATCTACAGCTGCTACCTTGAGTTAGAATCTCTTGTTAACCACATCCAGGTTTCCAAGTTTTAATGAGCCACGTGTACTCTCTGGAGAATTTTTTGTGGAGACGCAAAAAAGGTA